GCTGGAGGTGGATCGTCTTTGGTGTTGAGCCATGTGGTGCCAGCAGAACGACCACACGAGCCGCCACCAGCTGGCCGACCAACACCAGGGACTTCCGCTCCACACCATCGCTCCACCCCACTTTGATTCATCAAAGCAAATGCTCACCCAGCCACAGGTGAGTGAATTACTTTAACACCAACCTTGTTCCCACCACAGTCATTGCGCTAGGTAGTGGCGCTTCCGTCTCCAATTTTGTTTCTTGAGCACACACGTCGGACACCCCGGTCCGAACATAACGGAAGCCGCCAACCAGCACAAGATCCCCCAAAAAACGTTCCCGAATTTCTCACGTTTTCATTCACAACCGTTGCCTGCCCAACACCTCCGGTTGTTTTCTCCCCTCCCCCCGACACCCCCACCCCTTGATGAGCGCTGTACACGGGGCAACTCTCTCAATTTTTCATCACTAGAGCCTGTAGGTACCCAAATGAATATCTCTATACCAGGATCAGAATATTTTCTTGTTTTATTGGTCCTTACTCAGATTGGAATATTGACAATTTAAATAAGCTAATATGAGAAGACTGTATTTCTGATGTGGAAAAAAATGTGTTGATGATTTTGTTTCCTCTGCTGCCTATAGGCACATGACTATTGTACAAAAGTGGGAAATCTGATCATGGCTGTAATGAAAAATGAGTGTCTTATGATATTTGCTTTGCACAAGCCATACATAAAAAAAACATGACCATTTCATTGTTCCACTGTTGTTTAATTTAGAAAAAATACCAGCATACAATGATAATACACTTTAAACTCACAGGAATTAATATGCTTCATTGCTGTGGAAGCTATCAGAATGGAAATATGGGAGCTGACATTTCAAGCTTGGCTTTTAAACAGGGCCCTGTGCTGCCATCCTTATCTTTGCTTCATTACTTAGTTAGTCAGTGACCTAGAGCATGCAGCAAGGGAAGTCGGAACTCCTGAACTGCTTGCTTGTTCCTAGTCAATAGCTAAAAAGTGAAACAACTGGTTTGAGCTATTCCATTTAATTTTTGGGTTAAATACACATTAAATGGAGCAAAATGAATGCCTGACTTGAGAAGGCTGAGCTTGCTGTTTCTCCCCTGTGTCCTGGCTTTTTCACTTAGAACAATGGAGTCTGGCTCTTCTCCAGATACTGTTCGAATAGTTTTTTTAATTCTTTCTAGTTATTGAGGCAATATAAGGATAACATCAGTAGGTTTTATTTTTATTTTTCAGGGGCCCAGTAGAAAAAAATCCAACTTCCCTTATTGCATTCTGCAAAAAGAGGGTTACTTCACATGTTTTAAAAACAGAGCAAGCTGCCATGTGTCTACTAAACATTTAAGGTTTGACTCAACTGTAAGGCCCCTTTTACATGGGCGGTCCGTTAGAGTCTGCCTGTCATTTTTTCAAGCAGACCCATACAGATGACCAATGTAAGTCTATGGACAGACATGTGTAAACGGACGGGCGTCCATTTACACCTGGTTACCCCTGACTCCGGCCAGCTCCCGGACCTGATCATGCTGGATCTGGGTTAATCGGATGTAAACGGACACAAGTCTGTTTACATCCATTGTCCCATAGGCAGACATGGGGTCCGGTAATTGAAGTTTTTTCCTCCATGGTATGATGGAGGGAAAAAACTGTACGGACGTGGATGTCACACCAGTGCTGTGATCAAGAGAGGATGTATGCATGGATCCTGTCCTGATTAGCCTGTGTAAAAGGGGCCTAAGTCTGCTCTGTTTTTTTTTTAACATAGACTTAGTAGCTTGGTGTGTCCCTAATCTTGCAAGATCATCCTAATCCTGATCTTCCTCACTTTTGTTATTTTTAGCAGCTTTTCTACTTGGCTGTTTGTTTTTCACCTAAGTTTAATTGAGTGTGTACAGTACATGCACAGTGACAGCACATTGCACAGATATGAGTAGGAAAAATAGAATAACATGGAAATCGGAGAGGTGAGCGAAAACCACTTCTGGAAACACACCTTAACTCATTCAAATGTAAAAGTACCTTGCCCGAAATACTTATCGGTCCACTTATCCCAGTCACTTATATGCTGGACTACCCATGTGCCATACTTGTCCACCATCTCCTCTCTAGGGGTCAAGTTTCAGGGTTGGGCAAGTTAAACACACTCTTTGATGAGATCTTTCCCATCTTGTCTTTCCCATCTTGGCGGACCCTGGGTAGCCCCTGTGGATCCCAAGTGATCTCACCAAAGGCAGTTAATGCCTGGTTGAATGGCTGGGTAGACTTGTATCTCTTAGCAGGGCTGACAACCAACTAAGTTCTCCTCCACATCAGGTCTCATTCTCAGAACAACTTCACCTAGCTGCCTTGAAAACAACTCCACATGGTATTTTGGATCTCTTACAGACTGTCTAGTTAACACTATGAAAATATGCTAGAGTGGATACCTTTGGCTAAGCAACCTAACGTTGTCAAACAGCTATCAGAAAAACAGCTAACAGTTATGATCACTCATTAATATAAACTACCAATCCCTTACATGATCAGAAAAGATGAGGTCAAAGATAAAGGCAGACAGTAATAGGTAAGCAAAGCTTTCAATCTAGTGCTGGTAGCCTCATCTCCCTCATCCAAGTACCCCAAGTGGTCAGTCCATCACATAGGGCACCAGAAAACTGTCCTGGCTATGTGGACCTTGTCCTTCTCCGGGTGCCAGAATTCCTTGTCAAACACAATCAAAGCTTTATTTTAACACATGCATGAGAACAAACAAATATGGCCGTTGTTCTGAAGCTTTTTTTACATTGCTACGTAAAATACAATAGAATTACTAAAATTAACATATTTAATTTAGAGAGTAAACTGCTATTCTAAGTTCTCTGAACTGAAACACTCATTTTCTCATGACTAGCGACCAGTCATGTGTTTGATAGAGTTTGAAA